CGTGAACCGAGGTACCACTGTACAAGACCATAAACCAGATGCTGTGCCTGTGCAGTCCAGATCACACTGCATAGCATAAGACACTAGTCTGAGCCATGCTTCCATACTCTGCATACATTATCCCCTAATCCAGGGGTGGGGCAAACTCTGCCCCCGATTGTGGCCAGAACGCACTGGATCGCATTCTAGCCGGCTCACTTTGTTTTGGCACCACAGCCACGCCCTCCGGCCACAATGCGATCAGCCGCACTGGAACGCGTGACACATCAGTGCCTGCGTTCCGGTGCAGTCAGAAAAAATAGTGCATGCCCCCTCCCGCCCTAAAACAAAGTGAGCCGGCCAGAATGCGATCCAGTGGGTCCCGGCCACAATCAGGGCAGAACGCACTGAGGATGGTGTGAACTAGCCCTCACACACAAACAAAAAGTCCCATTATTCAGTGTGCACAGGGAAGGGGCAGCTAACATTTTTCTCATCCAGGTGGGGGGCTGTGTGCAGACAGGAAGCGTGCCTGCTGCAATGCCCTTCAATGAAATGTAAGAGGCACACCCAGGGATCCCAACCTGAAAGAAGCACTTTCAGGGAGGTGCCCTCTCCCCCCCCCCCCCCCTCGCTCCTCTCCTCTCCTCGCTCCTCACGAAATGCTGCATGCACTATGCACCAAAACGCATGTAAATACATCAAAAACGCATACAAAGGCATGCAAACACACTGGACTGCACCTAAAAGCCCACATTAAGGGGGATGTAAATACATCAAAAACGCATACAAATGCATGCAAACACACTGGACTGCACCTGAAAGCCTATTTTAAGGGGGGGGGGGGGGATAAAAAAAATAGGAACGCGTCCAATAACGCATACATTTTTTTGTCAAAAATGCACTGCACCACACATCCAGATCTGGTCCGTACATGGCGTGAACAAGCCCTAACTGTCACAGTGACTATACGGTGCGTTGCAGCGAGGCACAACTTGAGGCACCACAATACCCTGTGCTGCAATGCACCTAGTGCATGGTTCCACACGCTAGGTACTCCATGTGATGGCATGCGCTGAATGCACAATCTCATGCGTTTAGCTCAAAGCAATGATGTGAATCGGTCCCTCTGAGTTGCCACCAGAACAGGAATAGAGGGGAAATCTTCCAGTGGGGACGCTTGTCTAAGAGGGGATTTCCTTCACTTTGGGGAGATTTCCTTTCACTTCCTGTTGTGTCTACAGGAGAAAAAGTAGAGGGAGACCTTCCTAATGAGTCACACATAGAAAAAAAAACAATAATATGGTTTTACCGGACACTACTCTATCTGAAATGATCAAAATAGTTTGGGCTTTAGTTATAGGTCAATTGTGAAATGCACACGCCCTGTATAGTTAGAGTTACAATTTCCTTATAGCATCAGGAATCCACCTTTTCTGTTTGTGTTGGATCAATCTCTTTCTTGGCTGTCCTTCTGCTATTCCCCGCCAGCTATGTCACCAGGTGACAATGGGCAGCATAGAGGCTGTGTTTGAGAGTGTGATTCTATGGGATTTTGCAGTACTGGACTAAACAGGGGGGGAATTCATCAAAACTGGAGCAGACAAAATCTCAAACTGCATTGAAAATGCATGCGTTTTAGCCATTGTGATGCGTTTTGCCGCGTTTTTGATGCGCCCCCCCCTCTCAAAAGGCAAATCAGACCATATGTCACTTCCTCCTTCATTTTCTAGCTCAGAAATGCTTCCTTTGTTTGAAGGCATGGTGTTAGTGTTGGCTATAATCAGGGCCGGATTTACTCCACCTGCCGCCCCAAGGCCAGGTTCCACAAGGCCTTGTGGGAAATCCGGGCCTGAATATAATAATAATAATAATAATGTCGTTATTGGGTGCACCCCTTGCTGACGGTCAGAGATATTTGATTATTAGATTAGCATCCATGTCTGCCATGTTTCCAGAGCTGTTCCATTCCTAATCTCCTCTACCAACTCACAGGAAGTCCCCAGAAGATGACATTACTAAATCTGTGGGTTTTTATTTTTTAGTTGCGTTCCGTTTGCATGCGTTTCGATGCATTGCGTCACGTTTCGATGCAGCTTTTTTTTTTAAATAACATTAAAAATACATTTAAACCTCCTTTTTATAGATATTATTTACCCCTCCGAAGATTCCATTCATGAATCGGTTCTTTTGTATGAACCGTTCAAAATCAACCGATTCATTTAAAAGATCTGAACTTCCCATCTCAACTTTCAATGGGTTCCGGCATGTGCAAAACACGCAGAGGAAAGTACTGCGTGTAGTAAAATCTGTGTCATGCAAGCTGCGCTTTTTCTTTAGCATTTGTGCGCATTTAAACATGTGCAAGCGCAGCGGGAACAGCGCGTTTGCCTGGCTGTGTTTGGGGTGCCAATGCACAGCAAGCATGTTTCGCGTTCTTGACGCATTTGTGAAATGTGCGCATTTGCCACACGTTCACGGAAAGCTCAAGTGTGGACTGACCCCGAATTCACACACTCGTGCGCGTTCTTGCACGCTCGTGTGCTGTGTTTGGCGTGCCTCCCCTTTGAGTTCAATGGGGCCTGCATGTGCGACAAAAAAGCTCATGTCGCAGATTTTGCAACACGCGCATGTTTTTTGCTTCCATGTTTGTGTGAGTTTTCATGTGCGTCTTCATGGCTTCATTTGGGGTGCCATTAGAAATGAACGGCAATGCAAGTACTGTGCGCATTTTGCTGCGTTTCCGTGAATGTGCGCCAAATGCGCACTTTTGGCATTTAGGGCTTGTCCACATCAAATGAGGTGCGTTCAAGAGCGGTAGCTGCTAGAACGCCCCGCAATCCCTCACAAAACCTCCCCCTGCGTTCTGGGGTGTGGCGGTGCATTGAATTCAATGACACCGCCTCCACGCTCCCCCGCAGTGCGATTGGACGCATGGCAAAACTTTTCCTGCGTTCCGTTCTACTGCAAACGCAAAAATTAGAGCAAGCAGCATATTTTGCATTTGCAGTGGAACAGAACACAGGCAAAGTTTTGCCACGCGTCCGATCGAACTGCGGGGGGCGTGGAAGCGGTGCCATTGAATTCAATGCACTGCCATGCCCCCTACCGTCCCAGAACACAGGGGGGAGTTTTGTGAGGATTGCGGTGCGTTCCAGCAGCTACTGCTCTGTGTGAACAAGCCCTTAGGGAACGCGTAGGCGTATGCGGGCTTGGGGTAAATTTACTAAATTGGAGCAGAAAGAAGTTGGAGCAGTTGGGCAAAGCAACCAACCACCTCCTCTCTTCAACTAAAAAAAAAAAAAGCTAGAAGCTGATTGGTTGCACAGCTGTTGCAGATTCTGAAAAATCCCCTCACTCAGTTCTAGGAAATACCTGTGATTGGACGGTGAAGTTGGTGAGCAGTGACGTCACGTGCGGAAGGGACCGAGGAATGAAGCCAGGCAGAGTCAATAAAAAGGTTGCCGGAGATCATTACGCGAAGCCAAGTAATCAGCTCGGGGTCCGGGATACAGGCATCACACCAGAGGGCGGTGTAGACATGCACGTGACCTGGTCCTGACTTCTCCCAATAAGCAGCTGACTTCCAACAGCAATAGTGGGCGTAGTCCTGCTGGATGTGTGTATAGACTGGGAGGGGTCACGTGACGGGGAGGATTGTCGGGGACAGTATACTACACACTGACTCACACTCCTCGCTGATAAGCAGTCTGGTTTACACTAGTGATCGAACCGATACCGGGAACAGGTAAGCGCTGTTTACAGATGTTTTCACACAGCCATAAAACAATAACTAGATGTGTTTAGTACCATCTCTTTATAGCTTAAGTATTTCTGGGTACTTATCTACTTTTGTGATGACTTGAAAAGCCACAGGTACTCTATAAAGCAAGGCGATCCAAACTGCAAACATCCAGCTGTTGTGGAACTACAAGTCCCAATAAGGCATTGCAAGATTCTCACAGCCATAGGCATGACTCCCAGAGACGGAGGCATATGGGATTTGTAGTTCCACAACAGCTGGATACTCCTGCTTTATAGAGTACCTTTGGCATTTCACTAAGGTTTCATTACCCCTGGGGGTTCATGTACTGCTGGCTGAGATCCGATAAGCTGTGCTATCTTCACTATTGCTTGACATGGCTGTCATTAGGGAATGGGGTTGATGCACATTAACGTTAGGGATGCACCGATACCGGTTTTTCGGTATCGAGCACGAATATCGATATTTATATTTGACGATAACGAGTACTGGTACTTCCAGTAGCATAGAGTCGGCTTCCCGGGCAATCAGGGAGCCAGGCGGAGTCATTACCCACCGCCCGGCTTCTTGATTCCCCGGGAAGCCGACTCCATTCTTTTTGGCCGGCTTCATGCTGATTGGCCGGGAAGCCGGCTTCCCAGCGAGTCGGCATAGAGGCCGGCCAAACAGATCTGATAATATTGTGTGGCAGATAAGTAGCGCTCGGTCTAATTGTGAAGGTGATCTCTCAAAACCAAAGGGGGGAGATCGCCTTCAGATATCAAAATAAATATTAATCTCCCCCCTTTTGGTTTTGAGAGATCACCTTCACACCCATTCACAATTAGACCGAGCGCTACTTATCTGCCACACAATAGACTCACTTACACACATAGTTGCTGCTGGTCTATTTAGTTATTTAGATTTTGAGTCACTTATTCCTAGCGCAGTGATTTTTGATTATTAAGATCTGATAATATGGTGACACGACCCCCAACCCAGCAGACACATCATTCCCCTCACATAGATCCTTTGCAGCACTCATTACTGTACTAGTCCCTCAGCCAGCTGAGCAGCCACCGCTCTCCTCGATCTGCCCACGTCATCTGATGCACAGCGCCCACGCGATCGGCCCTCAGCCTGCTCCTGTGCATGCGCAGACTGCCCAGCGCTCTCATTTAGAAATCCTGTGCATGGGCAGGAGCAGGCTTAGGGCCGATGACATTGGCAGATCCGGGAGAGTGGTGTCTGCCCAGCTGGCCAAGGGACTGGTGCGGTAATGACGGCTGCTAAGGATCTATGTGAGGGCATTTATTTGATTTTGCCCGGCTCAACACTGATTGGCTAGGAAGCCGGCCAATCAGCATGGAGCCAGCTTCCCGGCTCCATGTTCCCACGCGGCACTGCCGGTCAGAGGAAATCTCCCTTTGTCATGTGTTGTGCTGGGCTACAATGCGTGTGTGTCAGAGCTGTGTTGCCATAGAGTAGAGTCACGCAAATTCAGCCCTCCAGCTACAAGTCCCATGAGCCATTGCAAGACTGTTATAGACATGACTTCCAGAGGTAGAGGGGTTATGGGATTTGTAGTTAAATCACAGCTGAAGGCCTGGAGTTGCCCACCCCTGCCCTAGCGTGTTGTGGTGTCATTTGAAAATGAATGGAACAGCAATGTGCTAATCCACGTCATGTGTAATTATGTGAGCAGCAGAAAATGCAGCAGAACTTGATCTGGGGAATAGAACGTTTGTTTACACTTCTTAGATCAACTTCTTCTGTGAATGAGGGCAAATTCCACTCGTTGCTGCAAATTCATTGATAAATAATGGAGACCAGAAGTATGTATAGTACCTGTGGTCCTTCTTAATGTTAAACTTCCAGAATCCGCTACAAACCAGCTGATGGCGGCCGTGGCTGACATGGGGAAGATAGAGGTGACTGACATCTAATCATGCACTTGAGCATGGGTGAGCCACTATGTCCCTCCAGCTGCTGTGGAACTACAAGTCCCAAAAGGCACTGCAAGACTTACAGGCATGACTCCCAGAGGCAGCGGCATGTTGGGATTTGTAGTGTCACCACAGCTGGACGGCTGGAGGTGCCCACCCCTGCACTCGAGTGTTCATTTATAAAAGTACCATTTGCATTGCATCGGCACCCCTAGATGACACTGAAGAGTATAGGAAATTCCTAGTCGCTGTTCAGCCAACAATCTTTATACCTGGCTACTTTGACAAACATTGAAATTGAAAAATCGACCTTTGTGGAACAGAGGGGTGCTGGTAGCACCACAAAGTGCTGGAATTTTGCTGAGCAGGACAGAAATGGGTGCAGTGTATGGCCAGCTTTAGCCGGAGTAAGGAATGGGTCTCTGTCTAGCTTCCAGTACACAAGTAATCACATTCAGAGCTGGATCAGACATGACTAACTCGAAGAGTTGTCTGTTCTATATGTGAAGCGTTAGAACGCGCTCTCCTCCAGTCTTTATATAGTCTCAGCAGAAGTATCCATGTCTGTGTAACATTATGGGAATTTCCCGGCAGTGTTGTGGAGGGTGGGAGACGCTTCCTACTGTACATCCCCCACCCTCCGTAGAAAGTGTCTGGTGTACACATGCATGCAGCTAGAATCCTGCCAGTATCACATCACGAGGACAGATCTGGAAAGGTTGCACCAAGGTAAAATATAATACAATAGTATATACATGGCAAACGTTTGCATTGTACATCAGCAGATCACACTTTATTTTCACATGGTGACAAATATCTTGCGTAACCTCCCTAGAAGTGATGAGTGCTAAGTCCCGTTTCTGTATGGTTATATGTTGTTTGTGGGAGTAATATAGCTGAAGCAGCTTTTTATGTCTCCTAAACATGACTCAACCCCACTGGCTAATGAAATATATGTAGAAGCCAGTGATAGAGTCCTTTTAACCACTTCCGGGCTGCAGCAATTTCTTACATTTGCACACACATGATCAAATCTGACGTTTTGGCTAGAAAACAGCTTCAGACCCCCAAAACAATGATATATTTTCTAAAAAGCAGAGGCCCTGCAGAATAAAAAGAAAACGCGCTAGTTGCTATTTTTTTATGTCACACAGTATTTGCGCAAATGTTTATCAAACCAGTATTTTCAGGATAAAATATACTAAAATAAACAGAATGTAATACCCAATTTGGTAAAATATAAGGGATGGGGTCACGCCAGGTAAATAGATAACAATCATGTCAAGCCTTAAAATTGCGTGCGTCCGTGAAACCGCAAAAAACCCTACAATACCCCAAATTTCCCATAGGCGACGCTTTAAAAGCTTTCACCGCTCATCAGTTTAGTGTTAACAGTAATCAATGGCTCTATAATTATTGCTCTCACTCCGACGTTTTTTGCACATAGGTGCGCTTGACAATCTAGGGGGCTAACGAGCCCCTATGTAATAGCAGATAGTGCTTGCTTGCAAAAATAGTGCTTGCAATATTTTTGCAGATCGCACTGGACCGGAACGCAGGCACTAATGTGTCGGCGATCGCACTGTGGGCTTGGGCGTGGCTGCGGTGCTATTGACTTCAATGCACCGGCACTCCCCCTCCCGCCCCTGAACGCTGGGAGCTGGCCGGCTTGCGTTCCAGAGGCCGAACGCACTGGAACGTGGACTTTGTGGTGTGAACCGCCCCTAAAACAGCTGCACAAACAGATATAAAAACACGCTGCTAGTAGAATAGGGGAAGACTAGAGTTTGTTAGATTTTTACATAAAGGAGCCTGGATTATTTTACCTTGTGACAGGTCACATGGTACGCTGGGCCCTTCTTCTCCGGCGGTGGGGAAGGATGGTTTTCAGTGCTGGATAGAAACTGGGCATCAGTGCTGTTCTATGCATTGTAATTCAAGCTCAGAAGGTGCCCCGACGCAAGCTAAGCTGGTGTGTCATTGACCATCTTGGCTCACAGGAAGCCGCTTGATTGAAGCCGGGCATAATTGTCTGCAAGAGCAGCCGACCAGCAGTGGAAGCCCACGGAGGGCAGCACTCAAGTCTAGAGCGAGGGTGAGAATTGCATTTCCTTTTCAACCATTAGGGGGTGTTTTAGGGCCCATTTACAGCAGTGTGCTGCAGAAAGGTTCATTACATCCGTTGGGTCACTGCAGTGCCATTCGTTATGAATGACACCCAAATCTACCTGCGTCACAGTGCATCTCAACACATAGTAACACACTGCGGTACACTGCATTCATCAAACATGGTGCTTGCCTGATTTTTGGCCTGCCACTAGACTTCAGTATTCTCACACTTCTTATTTCTAGACATGTATTTATTTCAGGTATTTATATCGCCCTGACCATTTATGCCACGCTTTACATCCTCTAAGGTACCTGCCTCACAAGGCCAATTTAAACAGGAGCCAATGAACCTACCAGTATGTCTCTGGAGTTCGAGATGAAGCTGGAGTACCCGAGGAAAACCCACACAACACACAGGCAGAACATGCAAAATCCATGAAGTTAGTGTCCTGACTGGGCCCCCCCCCCCCCCCCAGTGCTGGAAGGCAGAAGTGCTAACCGCTGAGCCACTGTGCTTCCCATTTCAAACCTACAGATAATTATTTATCTAAATGAATGAAAATCCCAGTGCTGTTTTGTAGCAGGAATAAAGCTCCAGGCCGGGTGGGAACTGAACTAGGGGATGATTCAGCCGATCACAGTACATCTGTAACTGAAATATATCTTTGGGTAGATTGGCTCTTACTGAAGGTTTAGATGGTGGGGTGTATATGTTTGGAACAGGATTGTCTTCCATTCCATTTAGGATGGCAGTGGGAAGGTCCTACTGCACCCAGGTAACTGCCACATGTTATAAAAACAATATAGCTGTTAACATCCTAGTGTCAGAAAACACATTCCTAATGCATGAGGATGAATAATATGGCCAGTTTATACTTTATAATGGCTAGTTGCAGACAAGTAGAGATCTATATTCCAAGAACAACTAGGACTTTATCTGCCTGTCCATGTACAGATCATGCCTGCGATAGGACCTGTCATATTATCATGATACTTTGATCAATCACTCTGTTCCATATCAAAAATAAGACTTAAAGGACAAACTAGCGTCCTCCCGTTACCCTAAGCTCAGTATACCGCGAGCTACAGCTCGCGGTATACTGAGACGCCGCACCTGGAGCGGATCCCGACTTAGATGACGGGATCCGCCCAGCTGCGTGAGTGACAGCTGGCTCTGCCTATCTAGAGGCAGAGCCAGCTGTACCCGCCCCCTCCCCCGTCCGTTCCGCCAGTCAGCGCTGGCAGATCAGAGCGGGGAGAAGGGAATCCAGCCCCTCCCCCTGTCACGGCAGAGAGCCGTGACAGGATCGAGAGATGAGGGAACCCGGTATGTGTTCGCTCACCTCCCGATCTACTGAGCCGACCTGTGACAGTCTCATTGTCACAGGTCGGCTATAACTATGAGGTGAGTGGAAATCACTCATCTCATAGTTCTCCTTTTAATCTGGCTCCAGGGAGATTTTCTAGCAAGTTGTGTGATGGCATGCACCTATGACCACCTCAGGGGCTTGTTATCTTCTTTCAGTACACAAGTAGATTAATGCTTGCTTTTATTGGTATAAATGTCCCTGCTATGTACAGCCAGCTATGAATCACACTGAAGGGCAGTGCTGGAAGAGACTGATAATTAAATATTGCTGGTACCAGATAAGATTGTGACTTGAGATAAGAGAGTTTTTATTATGCACATGAGCATGTCTGAAATGTTGTACTTTGTTCTTATTGCACCCATAACCCTTTGGATAAAACGGTTTGCTAATGAATGTTGTGGATGCTGTGTTTTTCCTTTAGAAATGGCGGGCACAGTAGTGGCCACCGATGTGGACACTGAGCAGACCCATACTTGCCTGCACCTGAAATTGTACCATCCTCTTCATCAGCATGACCAAAGGATCTTCAGTGCCATCAATCTAGGCAGAAAAGAGGAACTAAGAGCTGAAGAAGACGCCGTCTTTGGCCGGGATGTGTGCACGTTCAAGTTGCTGAATAACAAAGTCTCCCGCTTGCAGTTTGCGCTGCAGTTTTTCAAACCTTTGTACAATTCCAAAATGGCCTTTGAAATTAAGAACCTCAGCAAGAGAGCCAAGCTCTATGTAGATGGCCTAGAACTAAGCTACCTCAACAAAGTGGATCTTCCGCCCAAGTGCATGATTCGTTTTGGAGACTTCCAGATCTTAGCAGAGACTGAAGAAGGAGAATCCGAGGACAAATACGTCATCTGCTGTGAAGTGTCACGCTATTCCCTGGTTCAGGATGTATCTGGGCCAGTAATGGTTGGTATCTCGGAAACTGGGGTACAGAATGGTCATGCTTATTCATATTCGCACACATGCGCCACCCCTCCTCCAGTGGAAGTTGATGAGAATGACTTGTAAACTGGACATAAATTACAGAATTTCATACGGACAATGAAGAAAATAACTTTAACCTCATCAGCTTTATACCTGTATACCCTGTACAGCCCAGAGCAACTTTTAAATTTCCACTAGGGACCTGTTGATTTGGCAATAGGTAAAGCAGAACTACACTCTCCTATCCCATACTGTGACAGAAGGTGCTGTCTTAAGCTGGCCATACGCCTATAGATTATCTGCAGATGTACTTTTTCCATCTGATCATAGAACAACAGATTCCTCCAGCTATGCTAAACTGTGTGGATGGAGGAATCTCCCACTGGGCCAAGCTTCAGTATCTTGCTAGTCGGCCCCACTGGCTATAAAAATACCTGAACAATCTGCAGGCACTGTTCAGGTATTTTGAGAGCAAGTTGGCATGCTGTAAAAGTAACTGTTTTGGGAGACATTAAATTAGAAGGTAAAGTTCCGCTTCAAGATAATCTAAAACAGGCATTATTATTTTGGAATAAGGAACTGAGTTTTCTAGCCTTGTTCACAGAATTCTTGTTTCGGGTTTATGACTCAAACTTCTTGAAACAGGAAAGAGCCAAATAAATTATAACTAAAAACATTGTTCTTATCTTTTTTTAGATCTGGATAGAGTGGTGAGGGGTTAGAGCCACGAGCACGGTCTGTGTCCCGGTTAGGGAGATTTGCTCTCTCTCTAATTTTCCTGATCACCACCACCAGAAGTCACCAAGAGGGGGAATCTTCAAATGTGGACATTTGTTCCGGAAACAAATGTCCAAGGGTGGATTCCCCTCACATTTAAAAGATATCCTCCCACTTCATGTTGAGTCTTTAGGACAAGAAATGGAGGGTTATCTCACTAATGAGACACAGATGCCAATACAAACTGTTTTAATTTTTCCCCTACTTTATCCAAAGTGAAAAGAAAAAAGTTTTAGTAGGAGCGATTGCAGCTTACATTACTCCTTTCATGACAGTGTTTTTTAAATAATGATTTTCATAAGCTAATGGGATGTCTGAATGTGGGCTGCAGACAATATTGGTATGACACTTATTTCTGCTCAGTGTAGGGAAACAATTGGCTATCGGTAGCTGATCCTAGCAAGGGTTGGACTAAAATATGATGTCTGCAGGGAACCTTTTGATGATCTCTGAAGTCGAGTATAAACTTATTTGAAGGAAAATAGTTAAGCATGTATGCTGTAAAATATATAGGTTGAAATCAAGGTGCCCAAAAAATATAATCATGTGTTCACATCAAATCTTTGTTGACTTGAAAAATCAGGGGAAATCAAAAAAGACTGGGCAGGGTAAAAATAAATGTGCACCAAAACCTATTTCAGTATCAGCAAAGATCAGGCGACAAAAGCTGCAGAGTGAGTCATTACAGACGACCTCCTCTCCTAGCTGAAACAGGATTGCAGGTTAGGCAGATATACACAGGCTGCCATTAAGCATACCAGTGGTACAAAGCCAAGTATTCTTTGTTCCATTAACATTTCACCTTTTTGTGGATTTTATACAAATATTTAATAATTTTATATAAACATGTAAAAGAAATAGATAAACTGTTATACTTTTCTCTAAGAATCCTGTGGGCTTGTACTTGGGTAGCACTAGAAGTATTTACTCACGGAATTGATTTTTTTTTTACCTCGTTTAGTGACTAATAAACCATTGCTAATGTATTATAAGGATTCATATTTGAAATATTCCTTCTCTGTGTAAAGAATGTCAATTCAAATAAAAACAATTTTCTTCCAAAAATGCCCTTTTTATTTCTGTTCATCTGTGCACAGCCGGTAATGGGACAGGTCTGTTTAGAGGGGTAGTCTTATGGTTTTGGAAACACGCATACCTCTTCCTTCCATGTAAGCCAGGGGAGCATGCAAAACTTGGCATGTCTAATGCTGCATATTATACATTGTGCTAAAAATCTGACCCATCACCTTGAGTTGAGTCCTTATAGTCAAATAACTTATTGCAGTGGGTCGGCTATAATTTTTTACATAATTTTCCCATGAGTTATCAGGTGCAGCTATGTTCAACAATGTGTTTATCTAAGATAACGGCAAAGCCAAAAAAAAAATGGTTTACCATATACTGTAAACATCAAAGGATGCAGAGCATATCAGGCCATGCTTACAAAGAATGAAGATAAAGTAAGGCCATGCCTATAAGGTTTAATTATTAGGGATGTTCAGATGTCAGTGCCTATACTTGGCATTTTCACGAGAACTACCAGTGTTGCAGCTGTGACAGCACTCTGGCACTCCACCACTGTCCTGAAATCATTAGTCAGGGGTGCCCATTAGGTCGATCGCAGAGCGAACACTGGCAGATCGCAATCTGCTGTGTCCTGTGGGGCTTCTCTGGTTCCCCGCTGCTCTTCCCCATCTGTATGCAGCGGGGATCCGAGGAGAAGTGAAGGAAGCGCTGTAGAGTACGGAGCCGCTGTCACAGCAGCATGGCCGAGCGGTCAGGAGAGGGGCTCCCCGCCCCTGCTGCAGCGCTTCCTTCACTTCTCCTCAGATCCCCACTGCATGTAGATGGGGAGAGCAGCGGGGATCCAGAGGAGAAGTTGCAGGCTGAGCCCCCCTGTGTGTGTCGCCCAGTGGCGGAGGATCGGTACAGATCGTTGATCTGTACCAATCCTCTGTTAAAGCATAAAAGGTTATGTATGGAGGGGTGGAAGACTTTGACCAGAGTAATAACACACTCCTAGAAGAGGAGAAGACTATCGTGTGCAAGGAGGAAGGGGGGTCTGCTAGGGAACTGACTAGTCAAATATTCTAATAAGGTAAAAGGCACATTGTAAGTAACACACAGAGCCGGATTAACATAAGGGCGCGTGGAGCTGCAGCGCCAGGCTGGCTGTGGCTCTCTATTCAGGAATATTAGAGGGCCACTCACTGGGACCTCTCGGGGCCGCCTGAGCAAGGAGCCACAGCCACCAGTTTCAGCCTGCACACACCTGGCCTGGTGAGAGCCAAGCTGGCTCAGGGAGCCTGCACAGCTCCCTGGAGACATCAGGCTGCAAATCACAGCCAGGACAGGAGGAAGAGAGCCCCAGTGACGGTCACCATTTCCATAAAAAAGATCCACCGAAATCAAATCCTCAGCGCCAGGCCCGTGATGCTCCTAACCTGGCCCTAGTAACACATAATTCATTAAAAGAAGAAGATAAAACATGTAAAATAGTTGATTTTTCTGTGCTTTATACCTGATTTCAGCTGGTGTAATAAACACGTTAGTACAGTGCCCACTTGTGTGTAACTACAGTATGACTCGGGCTCTACCTGCCAAAATCGATGTGGGTGCCACAATTGCTGCAAGAGGCCAGGGTGCCTATGAAGCACATACAAATCTACTTAAATAAAAACTTTAAACAACATTCTGTAAGCCTGGTATTATAAAGTGTATTTCTACTTTTGCAGTCAAAATTAAAAAATAATCAAATTATATATATATATATATACACACACACACTTTTTTTAAATTGGCTTTTAGATGTTTTGCTGCAGCAAGCAACTGGGCTAAATCCAAGTTTTTCTCAGCACCTTCATAGTTCACACCTAATAGAAAGACTTACAAGCTAGGGTTGTAATCCTTTAACCCTTTTGTTAAGACAAGCAGTGTTCATATCTACTTTACAAGTTATAATGAACAAGCCCTCCTAACATTACAAAGAAGGAAAAGCAAGTTGAAAGTTTAACCCTTAACCCCTTGCCATCCACCCATCGTAAAAATACGGGCGGACAGCGTACCCTTCCTGGCGTACCCTTCCTGGCGGGTGGACGTACATGATTTTATTTTATTTTTCTGCTCGCGGACATATGCGCGCAAAGTCCCACCGGGAAGGTAAACTGCCGTCACCGGCTGTTTTATACTAGCGTTTTGGTCGGTTCTATAGAACCGGCCGATCACTTGTATGACCCCGCACGGTGGACTAAAGTCGGAAGCAATGTGTATTACATCACTTCTGTCTTTAGCTGTCATTTCTCTGGCTGAGAGCCAGAGAAGAAGATCTCTGCTTCATCAGCTTTTTTGGGGGTCCCAAGGTGACAGGGGTCTTGGGGACCCCTGATGTCTCCATTAAGAGGACCTGTCATTTTTTTTTCTAGCTATCACACTGGGAGCTTTTCAGCCTCCTATGTGATAGCAATCAAGTTATGTGTAAAAAAAAAAAAAAATAATTAAAAAATAAAACAAAACACCCAAAGCTTTTAAGTCCCCCGCCCCCACGTATACACGCGTCAGGTGCGCCTACGTGCAAAAATGACTATGCCACAAATGTTACATGTCGCAGTGAGGGCAATAATTCTAGGCCCATCAATCACTGATAACACTAAACTGATGAGCGGTAAAAGCTTTTAAAGCCTATAGTCAATTTTAGGCATGGTAGTTTTTTGGGAGTGCACGCAATTTTAAGACTTGACATGTTTGGGTTCTATTTACCTGACGTGACCCTGTCTTATATATTTTACCAAAAAATTGGGTAATAATAAATGTTTTATAGTAAAAAATTTAAATCCCAGGAGTGGGTCGGTGAGCTATGATGTGAGGACGTGTTGATTGAGGCTCCCGTATCCACCCCCTACCCTAGCATAACCAGGAGCACTGGTGTCATCTCTCAAGATTCAGTACCGGGCTGACGAGTGTCCGTGGCTGTGCTGCTTGTGCTGGCCTCAGTATCCTGCATTTGAGTGTCGAGGGTAAGGAGGAGCGCTGATCAACGTCTGGGACAGCGAGCTTGCTGTTTTCACAGTGAGTGTCGCTGAGAAAGGCTGCCCGACAGATCGATGGGGTGGCACACTAAAAAAAGAAAGAAGGGACCGCAGCAGACGGAAGGCATGGAGCGGTTGGCAGATATCGGTTCTTTCTTTCGCAAAGCCGGCACGTCACTCACCTGTCGATCACCTGACACAGAGACAGGATCGAGTGGGGCGACCTCCCCTTCTGACCCCCTGGTGAGGAGAGAGAGAGAAGTGGGGACACGAGTGAGACAGTCTCTCCAATATGCTTACAAGACCAGAGTGAGGAAGAGTTTTCTACTAGAGGGGAGATGGCTGGTACCGATAAG